CTAATTTTTTTTTATAGTAAATAATTATCTAAGTTCTAAACCCAAGTCATGAGAGATTACCATGTGTCATCTATTATTTTGACATTTGTCTTTTTTATTAACTTATAAGAAAAATTAAGGTTTTCAATAATTTTAACAATTAATTCCTACAATTTAATAGCTGAATTTAATATAAGTTAACTCCCAAAATTAAAGTGTAACATAAAGATGAGCAATTTTATTTCTTTCTTTCTTTGATATTCACCAAAGATTATAATTCTAAACTAAATATGTTATTGTAAACTTTTGACGGTTTGAACAAAATATATATTTTATTTATTAAATCCAGTAATATACTATACAAAAAAATTTAAAACTTTAGATAGTTAACTACGATTTTAAAATAAAAAGTCATAAAAAGCTTTAATAAAAAGAATCGTAACATTAACATAAAAAATTGTGTGAGAAAATTAATTAGTGATTTTAGGGATTTTAAGGTTGTTAGAATGCTAAAGTTGTCAATCATTTCCTAACAATACTCTCGAAAGAAAACCTTACTTCTCCACAAATTGTGAATCTAGAAAACATAATAATTCACAAATAAATCGATGTAAAAGATTAAAATCGCAGAAAAATGATAAAAAGAATGAGATAAAAAAAATACAATCAAACATCAATTATTCTTTTCTTACAATTTTAGGTTCGAACGAAATAAAACACAAAAATGCATTCCAACATCTCTGGTGAGATAATGTAGATTTTTCGATAGAAACAATTCATAGTACAACTTGTTTGATCAATAATTTTCTTACGGCCAATCATTTTTTTAAGGAACCGTAGTGAATATTGATAAAGACATAAAAGTTGCGGATTGCGCAAAAGAATATATCTTCCATATGCATACGCTGTAATTTTTATTAATGAACAATCTAATTATGTTCATATACAGCATTGTATATGTCCAACAATTTGCTCCAAATGTTTAATTAATTTTTGATATGTCCTATATTTACCTATATTACTATTTATTTTACTATATTTTCTATGCATTTATCTACGGTTTTATGCCTTTAAAGGTAGTTTTTCTCGTATTTGTAGTTTTAGAGTCTTTTCAGGGAAATCAAGCAAAAAGGATCTAAAAGAGCCAAAATAGGTGTAAACCAAGCCACAACAACTTTCACAAGCCAAAGAAACCATCAAGAACCAAGATTTCACAAGAAACAACATTCTACCAAATTGGACATAACGTATACACCAGAAGTTCAGCAGTGAACGGAGGATCAAATCGATTTGGAATGGGATGAAACTTGGTGTGCCGATAGATCTTTGAGTCATCTCAATTGGAGCTGTAAGCAGGAAGATACACTGGATTTACTAAAGACACATCAAGCTGCCTCAGAAACGAAGCAAGTGCAGAATCGACCCAAATACCGGGCCACCTCGTGGACCGATATTCCAGGCCAATGTTAGCACAAATCAAGGCATTTTGGACCCAATATTGGTCGTGTCTTTGGGCCGACATTGCCAAACCGACTTGGAGAAGATTTTGACGTAAAAGACCGTTTTGCCCTAAAGTGAACCCTAGAAGACCCTAGACCTATATATACTTGTTTTTCGCCTTTTGTTAGGGATATGCCGAAATATTAAGAGTAGTTTTATCATAGGAGCAGCCACCATGAGTTCTCTTGGTGTTCTTCATTAGA